TGTAAAGAATTATCGCTGAATACACATAAAAAAAATATATTTAGATGAATTGAAAACCTCCTCCTGTTTAAAAATCGTTTAAAAAGTGAAAACCTTTTTTTACTAAAAATTATATATAACATATAACAAATATTTTCATTTTATATTTAACAAATATTTGTTCCTGAAAAAAATTATGATACGCTCTCTCCTATCCTGCGGTTAACTTCCTATATCCATTTTCCCGAAAAATCATTAAACTGAAACGTTCCGTGATAAACCTTTACCCAGCTTGTTTTTAATTTGGAAAAATAAATAATTACAGCACTTTTTTGCGGAATCTCTCATGCAATTGGTTTGATTTACACAGAGATTTTTTTTCATGCTGAATTTTCATTGCCGGATTTAACGTGGTGCCTATCAAGATAATTAATTACATTAAATTTTAAAAAGTATACCAATGGGCTCGCTAGAAGAAATAAATTGAATAAATAAGTATTTAGGGTGAATCAAAAATTACCTTTGGATAAACCCGTTCGACCTCGACTTTATTGTTTAAGAGTAAAAAAATTTGAAATTTTTGCATAATAGTTACTTAATTTAATTTATGATTTTTAGTTTTTTTCCCATGTTTCTAATTTTTTGAATATTGATATGTGCACTACAGTTTACACTGGGATCTAGAGACGTAAGTATGTATACACTACAGTTTACACTGGGACTTAAAGATATAAATTTATATGTCTAAAAAATAACTAAATATCAGTATTTTACTCTTTTTCATATTACGACAAAAACAAAATGAAACTAAAATTAATACATTTATTTTTTGGTATGAAAAATAGCAAAGTTCAAACAATTCCTCAAATTTTAATATTTTTTTACTCATTTTAGTGAAATGTAATAAAAATATAAACATTCCTTAATATAACAAACACAAAAAATAAAGTTACAATTTAGAGTATATAATTTTTCCACTAAAACCCAATGTGCACTGTAGTGTACAATAATGTTAGACGACAGTATAAAAAAAACTTTTAATCCTACTAATTTATCACACGTTGTCTACACACTATTCACTGCAATCTGCAACAAATAATTTTATGGAGCCAATATAAAGTGTTTTCTAGTAAATCATGTACGTTGCGACATCTACACGATAATTTCTTTACTGTTCGCTTGCCACTGACAAAAAACTTTCTAATTTTCTAACTCGAGATCGTCACGTTAGGTTAAGTTGATTCTGTAAGATACACAGAAGTTCACAGTAGGAGTAAATGGTTAAAAATGGATTTTGGTTTATATACTTACCTCAAAAATAATAGTAAATGTTTTATCTGAAGCTTGGAGACGTGTTTTATTAATAATCATTGAATTGACACACGTACTTCCGACTTATTAAATTCGCAGTTTTACTTAAACACGATTTTTAAATAAACACAATTAAAATTGTCTTATGGTAAAAATTAGAGTGTGACACCTTGATTGGAAACATCAAGATAAAATAATGTAAAGAGGATATAAACACTATTTTACGATATAACAAGTGAACGCACTTTGAGTCGAATTTTGATTAATTTGACGTTAATAATTTTAAATTTGAAGATTGGCCGAATGAAGACGTTTTTATATCATTTAAATCATGCTATTTAAAAAAAATGTATTTATTCTCACTAAAACATGACTAACTCCATTTGCTCGAGTTTGACATATAACGTCAAACTGTACAGACACTTTTAGTATCGTTATAGCATCTCCTCTTTATTTTATATCACTTTGTGAAGTAACTGTATGCGTTGCGTAAATTAAGCTGATTTAAGTGATTTATGTTTGTTTCACTACGTTTCACGGATTTGTTAACGTATGACATCGCTTTTTAGCTAAAGACTTTCGAGAACACCTCTCACTCCTTCGGGTTCACTAATAAAAGAGCGCCACGGAAACGTGTGTAGCCAAGGCGCAGTGTCGTACCCAAAAATAGATATTAAAATAAAATTATTAAATTATAAAATTATTAAAATGTTAGGTACAAAACACATGAATATTCTAAAGAATTCATAGACACTGGATCAAAAAACAAAATATAAATTGGTGTTAGAGAAAACAAAAATAAAGATATGAACGGCTTTAAAACACGAAACAATAATAACTTATTAGTGCCTTTTAGCAGAGTAAATATCACATATAAAGCACCAAGCAGAATTGGTGCCAAAATTTACAACCAGCTCCCACTATTGATAAAAAATGTTAAAAATGAAAAGACGTTCAAAAAGCATCAAAATTGTATTAAATAATTAAATGCCAATACAATTTAAATGAATATGTCTCATAAATATAATAAAATGTCCGGAAATTGCGTGTACATGGAGATACCACATATTTATGGACTCGTGTTCGACCGCATTTAATATTTGTTCCACACATTCGTCCTTGATCTATATTCCTTGATCTAAATGTACCATTTTCACGAAGTCGTCTTTCAATATTTGCAAATGCTCTAGCGACCAAACTAAGCAAGTAAGTTTGGCTAAATCAACTTATTTGGACCCTACAAATCTGTGGTAATTCCATCTATATGCAATTTCAGAACACCCTGAATATTATGTTATGGTTGGTTCAAATTTTTTTGGTCCAAATTTTTTTGGTCCAATTTTGTTTGGTTAAAATTTTTTTTGGTCAAATTTTTTTTTATTTTTTTTCCAAATTTTTTTTGGTCCAAATTTTTTTGGTCCAAAATTTTTTGGTCCAAAATTTTTTGGTCCAAAATTTTTTGGCCCAAATTTTTTTGGTCCAAATTTTTTTGTCCAAATTTTTTTGGTCCAAGGCATCACAAATTAATTTTAAAAATGTTTAAAATTTGATTCCTTGAGGTTATAAGGAATAATATAAATATTAAAAGGCGCCGGTAAACCAATTTTTGCCAATTCACTGTACAAACCAAATGTTGGGGTTTGATTAATCGGATACTTAAAAAATATGATTAAGGGATCCAACTTGACCATATTGAGAACATGTTACAACCATGACATTTAACGTTGACATCAGAAATTAAACTTAAAGGAAATCTGTCAGGTACTGTTACTTTATTTAAAAATCTATAATCTCCACAAGGTCTCCAATTATTTAAATCTTTTTTTAGTTATCATGTGCAAAGCAGAATTGACATAAGAAGGATAATGGTCAGCAAATGCCTAATTCGATCATTTGGTCGAATTCTTGTTTGGCAATTTTATATTTTTTAGGATCTAAACGTCTAGGTTTAGAAAAAGGTACATTTTCTTCAGTTACAACATGATGTTTAACGTTGTGTTTTGCAGATAAATTAAAATTTGGAGATGCAAAAATTCCAGGATATTTTTTAAAATGTTCCGTACATTATTATTTAGTCTTAACATTAAATAGTTTAGGTGAATTGTCTTTAGTTTTAAAATTAAAAATGTTTTCAACAGAGTCCCACTATTGATTATTTTAGAATTTTTTAAATCCAAAGTCATTCGACTTTTCTATGGGGAAACCTGAAAAGCAATGTTTATCAAAGTCGACCAAATTATCTAGAAGAATTGAAGGAGGACATCAGAAAGGAGAATGCATAAATAGCCTCTAAAATCTGAAAAATTTTAGTGAAAAATTAAAATCATTGCTGAAGGTCATTTGTTTATTACATTTATTACAATTTCATTCTATTTTACTAAATAAATAATTTTATGTTGACCCTGAAATAAATATTCGAATAATTATAAAATTGGATAGATGATTGGAAAACCTTTCAAATGAGATGTCTCATAATCCTTGTTTTAGTATTTTTCAAAAATCGTCTATTTCTAAAATAATTAATTATTCGATACAATTGCAACGTATATCTATTACTTTACCAGAATTTATAAATCTTATTTTTTATAATTTTAACACGTTTATTGAAACCGGTGTGTTTCCAGAAATGGGGTTATTACCAAATTTGACAGGCTGTACGAAATTTCGTTGACCATACTGTATAAAATTTGATAATTAAACATAAAAATCCGCAGACAGTCCGCTATTATTCCAGACCGAAGAAAATTTTTAAAGCTTTTATACCCATTAACAAAAAATATCGTGAGTAGATCACTTTCATTTCTATTACACGAAGGTCTAGGTTGTTATTTATGTAAAAACTACTTATTTTGTCATAATCTGGTTTGGTTAATACCATTAAAACAATGAGTATAACCAAAGCGAAGACAATAAAGGTCTGTTTATTTATTCGGACTATTTATAAGAAATTAATTTAAACAATCGGATCCTATAATCGGATTTATTCAAAGGAATATTTTATTTAAAGTTCTGTTTAAAGTTCCTTTAAAATAAATCATTTTATAATCGTTTTTTATTTGACTAGTTGTAGGATTTTTTAAAAATATTTAGTTTTACGGCCGTATTATAACGGACATTTTCGGTCATTGTTGATGAAATTTTGAAAAATATCGTCTACTCAATTTAGTAAACATGTAGTAAAACTAATTTTTGTTGTATTAAAATGTTTCAAAAATATTGTTATGCTTAAAATAATAATTAATGTCTTAGTTTGGAGACGTTTTTCGGTAACAATTGAATTGACACACATACTTCCGATTTATTAATGTCTCAGTTTTATTCAAACACAATTTTTAAACAAACACAATTAAAATTGACGCGGTAGCTGAAAAAAGGGCACATAGAGCTAAAAGTGCGTTTGATATATCCCCGTCCAAAGTTTGTATTTTAGTGCACCATATTATTTTACAACAAAACCAATTTCGGATGGTTCTATACAGATCTTTTAATATTGCTTTCAAAAGAATAAGGCCTTAAAAAACCGATTATATCACATACAGAGTTGATTATAGCACAATAAAAAAAGTAGTTTATTTATTTCCATAGAATCATAACAAAATATTAAAAGTGGTTTATTTGTTTATTTTTCAATACAATGGCTTTGTAAGGGATGATATTCTATAAAAAACAACGAATTGTTATGACGCAAACACTTTAATCCTATAAAAATGTTACTCAGATACAGCATCACTGTCGAGCATGTCGTCCTCGGAGAACCATTCATCTTCTTCATCTAGACCCTGTTGTATATCACCATTCGCTTTCTCTGTTTTATCAAATACTTCTTGTTGACTCCACTGAATACTTGCCTCGTCGAGGAAACAAAAAAGGTCAGCAACGTCTTTCTTTTTCATCGCATTTATCCCGCATGCTTTGACTCTTTGTAGAGTTAGTGGGCAAGGCACTTCTCCAGTTGGGTTTTTGAAATATTGAAAGTGTCTGTAGACTTCAGTATACGTTGATGAACACGACAATATTCCATTCGGTGACGCTTTTAGCAAAACATACTTCTGAATTGTGTATTTATCATCTTTGATAAGTGGTGCTGGAACACGTCTAAATAGTGGCACGAGCTCAGTTTCCCAGTCATGAAGCAGTGTGTTCCATTAACACTTTAAAAGGATGGTTGTCTTTCTTTCGTGCTTCAACCATGGCGCTGAGATATGGTTTAGCTGTAAATATGTTTTCTTTTTTCTTTAAGACGGTCCTGATTAAGCCAAAGTTTCGATCAGGAAAGAATTGTGTTACTGTAACGTTATGTGCCCTTGCAAACTAACAACAGAACTAAGTCATGGTTTTGTTCTTATTCTGCCCTCCACAGTTATCCGAGAGCAAAAAAATTTTTATGAACAGTTTTTATATTTTGGTAAAGTTTTCATTAGACAGTCAAATAAAAAAGATACTACCGAGTTAACTCCCTTTTTGGACAATCCTTCCATAAACAAGTACATAAACGAAGAATTGTCGTTGTGAATATGTATGTTTAATGTGTACATCCAAAGAAGTTGTTTGTAGAACTGCCGGTTTACATTTAATTTGGGGATAGCAAAGTTTTGGCCGTAATCAAATTCAACGACAAGTAAGGTGTTGTCGGTTTTAACCCTTGCGAGTAATTAATTCTTTATTGCTTGATGACGAGCAAATTTCCATTTGTGGATGGCATATTCCAACTTTTTCGCATCATTTGGATTTTCTAGCAGGATTTTGTTCATTTTTGTGCACTAATCACACACGACTTCTTTTGGTTTAATTTTAGTTTAGTTATAAGAATTGGTTGTCTGAATCATTTCTGGATGAAATTTGGAGGTAATCATCAGTACCTCTCGCTTATCTTTCCATTTGGATACATACACTTTCCCCGTTCGCAACCATTTATGCTCACCTCTCTGGAGTTTTTTAGTGATAATTTCTTTAGGATTTCCTCTACGATTTGACCTAAGGGTTCCTGTTGTATGAGTTTTCCAATCAAGTAATTTGTTTGTTAGAGGAACGCTGTTATAATAGTTATCCATAATAGCGTGATGTCCCTTGTCTAAGAAAGGGGATAGAAGCCTGAATACGAGAGTCTGTAACTTTGTCATATTTGCTTCTTCTGCTTGTTTACCTTTATAGATGTCGATGTTGCAAGTATAACCTTTTGTTGTGCATAGCTCGTAAAACTTAATCCCATATTTTTCTTTTTTTCCCTTTATTTATTGCCTAAAGCTCAGCCTCCCTCTATGTAGCAATAGCGACTCATCTAGTGACAAGTCTTCTTCGGGAGTGTAAGTACTCTGATAGTTAGCAAGCAAAATCTTCAATAATTCACTTATTTTATTGAGTCTATCAGTATTGTCTCTGTCGTTGGTGCAGTTGAAACATCTAAGCAGCTGTTCATATCGGCGTCCCGACATAACATAGGAAAACGCAGGATGGTAGTATAATGGATCATATGAGAAAAGTTTTTGCAGAATTGGGAATCGAATCTGTCCTTGTAATAGAGAAATTCCAATAAATTTGTAAAGTTTTTCTTTGGTAGTTAGAACGAAGCTAGTTGTTCTGGAATGTTTAGGTTTGGGGCGATTTGATATTTCCAGTTTCTGACCATATTCATTCTTACAATTTACGATCAGATCCATTACGTCGTCAGTCCAAAGCGACTTGAAAACTTCTAGAGGTAGAGGTTCATGGTCAAAATGTAATTTTACCCCTGAAGCAGCATGATCAAACTGGAAGTCTGGTATATCATCATAAGTCTCTTCCCAATTATCACTTTCATCAAAACTAGAACCTTCTGCATCTGTTACATTAGTTTGATTTACGACAGGATTTACGGCAGTTGGTGGAGTTGGATTGAGGTTAGGCTCGTCAGATGAATCAGAACTATCATTTGTCGGAGAATAATCCAAGTCTCTATCATCTGATCCAGCATATGGATCGTCATCGCTAGCACTGTCGATTTCGTTTTCATCATTGTTGTCTTCTATTTCAGTGTCAACTTCATCATAAAGCCTTAGTAATCTGGCTTCCTCTTTGGGGTCCATTTCTTTCAGGGCCTGGAAGAATGATTACTTTACAGTGAAAATACGTGAAGTTCTTGAAAACAACAAATAACTAAACAGCAAAATGTACTTACTGCTGGAATTATGGAATTATTTATAGTCACAACAAATAACTTCACTGTACAAATGTTATGGGGCGACTGACTGCTTCCGCAGACGTGACGCGACAAGTGTAAAAGTAAGTGGGAGTAGCACAGTGGTCTGAAGGTCAAATCAAATGCCTTCATGGGACACTTCCCTGTTAACAAACTTGATTTATAGGGACACTCGCCTACGCCTTTTATGTATTCCTTATGGGCGTTGCGACTGCTATACCAGACGCGGCATTTTCAGTGGTCTAGTAATCGTCTGCTATCGCAGTCCTGTCCCTACACATCTGCCTGCAATTTCAGACACGTCCGTCAATGTGTTAAAGATTTTAAACAAGCATATTGTTTCACACATTTGTTGACGTGTTGACATTTCTTTTTAGCTGCAAGCTTTCGCGAAAACCTCTCGCTTTTTCGCGCTTACTCAGAATAGTGCATCATAGAAACGTGATTAACCAGAGCACAGTGGACTGCTAAAAAATAGAGATTAGCACGTATGAAAACAATAAAATTATTAAAATTTTATTTATATTTATATGTTATTTATGTGAGTTTAAAATAATGTGTTTTATGAAATGTAACTGGGCATTAAGTGCCCAAATGAACCAATGGAGAAACCGCCCCTGCTTCAAAGTATTATTTAGATTAGTACTAATTATATTCAAAGGATGTCAAAACCGCTGTCGTTAAGTCATTAAAAGCGTTGAACATTTTTTATATCTGTCCACTCATTTTAAATTTAAAAAGAAAAAAATATTTCAATACAGAATATATTTATGAATATTAACGTGAACGTAGCACTATATTTTCATAAGAAATATGAAATTTATATTGATAAAATCTAATATATAATCTAACATGCAAATTATTGATGCATCAAAAAATTTCTAGTAAATTGGACTGACATGGATTCATCTCTGATATCTAGTATACCATCTAAATTATTAAAAAAAATTATTATATTTTCTCAACTCCGAGTGTCATCAGTACTACCATTATTATCGTTATAATATTGGAAATGCGAATGATTTATGCTAATAACGTCGATAGAGATTATGTACGTTCCCGGCCGGTAGTTATAATGAAATTTCTCCAATAATTACCCTGAAACTACCATGGTTATTTGTATGGCCACTACCGACTCATTAGCTTTTACGGTTAAGTATGTTTTAATGTATGCAGGTAATTTAAATTTATATTTTCTGCATTGTTATCATAGGCGGCTTTTTTTATTTTAAAAAGGGTAAAATTTGAATAACCACGCTTGCAATGGAAATAGTAATTAAAAGGTTTTTTTTTAAGAATATAACAAGAATAGCCAGTACGATAGGGAAAATAATCAAACATTTAATAGATGACCAGTTTTGTTTTAAAAAAAGGTTGGAATAATATAGATAATAATTAATATAAAAAAGAATATAAAAGAAAATCAAACGAATATTGTGCAATTAAAAGCAGAAATATAAATTTGAACAAACTAAAACAAACCAGATGACGCAATAGGCCTATAAGAGTGATAATTTATAGTAAAAGAAAAGTGTTATAGTAAATGCAATGAATTTCCAATGCACGTCATAAACTCATGAAAGTAGACGTTGCCACGTTGTTACAAAATTTTTAGGATTTCAAGAAACATTTTATAAAAAACTAATGATTAATTTAAACTCTAGTCTTTGACACTTTAAAACTAGATGACGCAATAGACCTATAAGAGTGACAATTCGTAGTAAAATAATATTTTTATAGTAAATGCAATAAAATTTCCAATGCACGTCATAAACTCAAGAACTATTTTATAAAAACCTAATATTTAATTTGAACTCCATTCTTTGACACTTTAAATAATTTACTCATTAAACCTATATAGATAATTTTAGAAGCTTTTGGATGTAGTTCTTCCAATATAAATAAATTGATTATTTATGAAACTCGCTCTGCTCGTTCCGCAAATTAACGATCGGTACATTTCGCAAGCATTAAGCAACGTGTTACCTATATTATTTTTTCTAATTTTAACTAGATTATAATAATAATAATAATAATATTTATTGCTTCTAAACCTGAGTTACAGCAATGAGTACAGATATAAAAAATTAGATCTTAAAACATAAAAACAACATTATTTTAATTTATAACTTAAAGATAAAGAGTTTTTCCAGATAATTTTTTTATGGTTTTGAATATCACTTCTTAATTCATTAGTTTGAGAGTATGATGATGTAACATCAAAGTTTAGTACTAAATTAACAGGAAAGTGGTCAGATAAAAAGTCAACTTCACTAACAAAAAAAAATATTTACATCTGAAAGAAATATATTATTAACCCAGACCATGTCAACCACACTCTTGCCCAGTTTGCTTACAATACGTAAATTTACCAGGTCTATCGAGTGTACTTCTACCGTTAATAACTAAAAAGGAATTTTCATACATAAAATCGATCAAGTGTCTACCTCTAGAATTAAATATAGTATCCAAGCTTAGCTTATTACTAAATAGATTTGCGCTTTCTATTATTTCAACAGGCACAATGCCTTGAGCTGAAATCCTACAATTAAAGTCACCACCTATTTATAAACATAGTATCAACATAAGTTTCGGAAAGTTCAGCTAGTAACACTTGTAAGATTTCAAAAATGTAAATTCTAGGGATGGTTTAAATTAAATGTGACAAAATAGATTTATAATAAGTTGTAGCAAAGAGACAAATAATAAGGAGAGTTATGTAAAGTAGTAACAGTAAAATGATCTTTATAGAAAATACACAAACCACCACTTGGTCTTCCCAACGATTTTACTTTTGTAATGTAAGTAAAATTATTTAAGAAATTTGGTACAATAGTTAAATCATTAGTAAGCCA